TTGCTTCTTCTTTGTAGCCATCTCAAACAGGGCACCTAAAAAATGTTTCATTTTATAATAATAAAGCCTCCAACACAAAAGAATTACAATTCTTAAAATGATGACAAAAATACCTGTAGGATTTGCAGCTGGTTGGAAAAATACAGGTAACTTTATGCTTCAAGTAGGAACTTTTGTCACCCGCACGATTTGCGGACGCGACTAGCACTAACCACTGCACAATGAGACTACTGACTGACTGGCTCACACAACTCGTGCATGAATCGCGAGCGCCTCCCCCACGCTGCGTATCCCGCGGCCCGCCTGCGCTGTGTCTCACACCCCCCCCCCCACTTCTTCTAACGCCACTTCTTCAAAATAGACTCGCCCAGGCCGAAAACCGACTTCTGCGCATGGGCCACGAAGTTTCAATCGCACTGTACGTGCGCGCCCGCACGTGGTATTTTGTGGAAGACCCACACTCAAGGGGCCAAAGAGCCGCATGTGGCTCGCAAGCCGCGGTTTGCCGACCACTGTTCTAAGAAATTAAGCAACCCAGCCAAGGCCGATGCAATAATTCTTAAAGTGTTAGCAAATCAATCCAACAACAAATTAAAAAGAACCTTATTTTAATATATTGTGGTCAAGTGAAATTTATCCCAGAAACACAAGATTTGTTTACCATTGCAAAATCAATGTAATTCATGATAAAAACAGGCTAAAGAAGAAAAGATGTACTTGTGTCTATAAAGGCAGAAAAGGCATCTGAAAAATCCAGCATCTTTTCTCAATAAAAACTCTCAGCACACTAGTAATAGAAGGGAGTTCCCCCAATCTGATCGAGGGCACCTATAAAAGATTAAATGCTTTCTCCATAAGATCAGGACCATAAAAATGTGTACTTTTCTATTCAACACTGTTCTGAAAGGTCTAGCCGATGCCATAAGGCAGAAAAAATAAAAGGAACCAGATTGGAAAGAAAGTTCATTTATTTTATAAACTGTCTTAATTTGCAGACATGATCATCTATATTTTTAAAAATCATATAGAATCTACCCAAAAAAACTTCTAAAGTGAGTTTAGCGAGGTTGTAGGCTACAAGATAAAATTCAGAAATAAATTTTATTTTATATAGCAGTGAGAAATTGGAAACTGAAGTTTATAAAAACAATACTCTAGCATTAAAAAAAAACACAAAAGAAGCAGCAGCCCTTAGGGATACATTGGACCCAAAAAATGCATTTTTTTAAAGAAGTACGTGTCTATCATTTTACCTTTTTAAAAAATATATATTTTTTATTGATTTCGGAGAGGAAGGGAGAGGGAGAGAGAGAAACATCAATGATGAAAGAAAATCACTGATTGGCTGCCTCCTACATCCCATATACTGGGGATCGAGCCCACAATCCAGGCATGTGCCTGAACCGTGTCCAGCACGGCCAGTGTTGAACTTGAGGAGGGGCAGTGAAGGATTAAAGAAAACAGACAAGAGAATACAGTTAGGACCAGGTGGATCACTGCGCCTGGATGAGGAAACAGTGACACATCCTGTAAACCGTGGCTTTATTTTATAGTCAGATCACACAAAGCAAAACCAGGGCAAGATGTTTACAATGTTCTTGCGAATTTCAAATCTGCTTCTTTCCTATTATTCCCATTCTCTGAACTCTCTCAAGCCTTGTTTAGGCAGCACTTGCTGCACCTCCCGCAGCCCACATCCCTTAGCTACCTAGGACTGCAGGGTCGGACTATATGGTCAAGCTTACAACCATAGCCTTTTGGCTATAATTGTGCTGGCAGGGTTGTGCCCTCCAAGCTGGGACTTGTATGTGGCTTTGCCACAAGTCAGTCTGAGGCTTGATCCTGTCCGAACGCTGTAGCCACTCTCCACATGTGCCCTTGACTGGAATTAAATCCTGGACCCATCAGTCTGCAAGTCGATGTTCTATCCACTGAGCCAAACCAGCTAGGGCAAAAATTGCATTCTTCACAGTAAAACTACCAAATACTGCTAAAAGAAATTAAAGAAGGCCTGAATAACTGAGAAGACATCTCATGTTCATGGGTCAGTGGGTTAGTACTGTTAAAATGTCAATTTTCTACCAAACTGCATTCAAGAGTCAATGCAATCCCATTAAAAAGCCCTAGAGACTTTTCCGTACAAATTTACAACCTGACTCTGAAATTTACATAGAAATACAAAGAACTTAGAATAGTCTAAACAATTTTTTAGGGGGAAAAAAGTTAGAGGACTAATTTTACCTGACTTTAAGACATATTAGAAAGCCACAATAATCAACACAGTTAGTTACTGGTGTAAAGATAGACAAATAGATTGATGAAATAAAAGAGTCTAGAAATAGACTGAGATGTGTATGGTCAATTCACTTTTCCAAGGATACTCAATGGGCATAGGATAATCTTTCCAACAAATGGTACTGGAACAACAGGCAACCATAGGCCAAAAAAATAAATAAAATAAAAAATCTTGACTCTTACACCACATATAAAAATTAACAACTGAAAATAGATTATAGACTTAAATTTAAAATAAAGTCTTAGTGACCTTGGATTTGATGATTTACATAATACATAAATATATTAACATAAATAAAACTTAGAAAAGACAAACTTCAAAGGAAAAAAGTATTAATCAGTCTTCATGAAAATTAAATAACTTTGTTCTTTAAGCAATAGTTTTAAGAAAATGAAGACTTTCTTTTTCTCAGACTTGGAGAATAAATTTGCAAAACATAATGCCTGAAAAAAGACTTTTATCTAGAGTATATAAAGAACTCATAATAATTAATAAAAAGGTAAATAACCCAATACTTATATGAAGGAAAGATATGAACACTTTACCAAAGATATACAGATAAAGAAAGATACCCAGCATCATTAGTGATTACGGAACTACAAATTAAAACCACAAGAAAACATTACATGCCCATTAAAATGGATGAAATTAAAAAGACTAATCATACCAAGTGTTGGTGAGGATGTGGAGCACATTGGGATTCTAACAGATTGCTGGTAGTGATGTACAATGGCACAATCACTTTGAAAAACAATTTGGTAGTGAAATACACGTATGATCCCACCATTTCATTCCAATGCTAAATATCTAACTCAAGAGAAATGAACAACTTGTACAAGAAGCTTTATTTGTAATAGCCAAAAACTGGAAACTCAAATGCTTATCAACAGGTGGAGAAATTATGGTATATCCATACAACAGACTACTACTCAGCAATAAAAACGGAATGAATTATTGATGCACACATATGGATAATCTCCAAATAATGATGAAAGACAAATTAAAAAGTACATATATGGTATGGTACATATATTACTTTTATGTAATTCTAGAAAATTCAAACTAATCTACAGTGACAAAGCCAGTCAATGCCTGGGAACAAGAGGAATAACTAGAGGAATTATAAAAGAGAACAAGGAAACTTTTGATGGTGGAGTGGGCATCTTCATTACCTTGACTAACGGGGTTTCATGGATGTACACACGTCAGATGGTGCACATCTATTCCCAATTCTGTGTGTAGAGGTATCATATTGATAGAGGGAACTTGGCCAGGGTGGAAGTATTTACACCACAGAAATTGGAAAATGCTACCACAAAATCAGGGCCTTTTCTTGGACAGCTAGTTGTTAAACATTACCAGCCCATTGCTAGCTATAACATACATAAATAACAGTTCATTGAAATTCTTAATTTTTAATTGCCACAAAGAATTCCCAGAACCATTAGGCTAAAAACTTGCCTTTATCAAGGTAAAAAGTATTACTAGAGAGAAAAAACAAAAAGAGAGAGACTTTCAGACACTTACTCCTATCAAGAAGAACTCTTTTGCCCTGCCCTGACTGGTTTGGCTCAGCGGAGAGAGCGTCGGACTGCGGACTGAAGGGTCCCGGGTTCGATTCTGGTCAAAGGCATGTACCTTGGTTGCCGGCACATCCCCACTGGGGGGTGTGCAGGAGGCAGCTGATCGACGTTTCTCTCTCATCGATGCTTCTAACTCTCTATCCTTTCCCTTCCTCTCTGTAAAAAATGCAATAAAATATATTAAAAAAAACTCTTTTGCCCTGGCTGGTGTGGCTCAGTTGGTTGGGCGTCATCCTGTGCACTGAAAGGTTGCAGGTTGGAGTCCTGATTAAAACACATGCCTGAGTTGTAGGATAGATCCCCGGTTGGAGGGTGTGCAGGAGGCAGTTGATCGATATTTCTCTCTCTCTCAAAATCAATTAATAATCTTAAAAAAAGACACCTCTTGCAGAGACATACTTTAGTTGCCTGACTGCCGCATCCAGCACGGCTAGGGTTCAGAATCTAAAAAGGGGCTGCACACAAAACACTAGACAAGAAATATGAATTTAGAAGGCATGGGGGGCCAGGCGAAAACCTCTCTCTAGAGAGAAACCCTGGCCTTGTCAGCTTTCATTCAATTTTAGATACACATCTTGCCCTCAGTTAAGCACGGCAAACAGGTAGCAGACAATCTCAAAGGTCAGTAAAAATCAGTAAAGATTTACTTTGAGGCTATTAGGTCAGGAAATTGCTTCAAGCCATCACTATCTCAACACAGAACAATCGGTGCATAGCTTTTAGCCCTGCTAAAACTCAAGGTTCATCAGCCTTCCGAGTTCCTTGATGCACTCTCATGATAGCATTGACAATAGATGGCTTCCCGCACCTGACCAAATGCTTCTACTGCCATCCTCCCACAGGCCTCACTGTTGACACAGTCTTGCCTCTAAGACCTGGAGAGTTTGGGGTCGACTCTTTAGCTCCTTCTTGAAGGCTGCTACAGGGGCTGCCATCTCCCCTAGCAAACACCAAGGACCCATCACCTTGCTTCCCACAGCTACTCATAAACCCAAAATATAACTTTAAGGTACTGCTGAAAACAGTATACCCACTTTCTACATAACGGATTCCAATTCTAGCAATGAGATAAGAGGTTTATGACACAAATACATTTGTATCAGGTAAATCAACCACCAGAATACCCAAATCTCATATTTTTACCAACTTCTTTGACGTAATTTAATTATGGAATAAGGTTTGGAACCATCCCCTTCTCCTCCCGCTCTTCAATGCCCAGCCTGAGTCCTTTTTGCCTATTTAATATGGTGTGGAGAGTATCAGTGTGCTGAAGTTCCATCATCTCAATAGAAAGTTCCCAGGAAAGGAAGGTTAAAATAAAAAAAAAACAAACAAAAAGGATCCCCATTAAAGAATTCAGCAGGGAATTGATGTTGCAGAAACATGTTTTCCTATTTCATGACACATTGGAAACACAAACCTTAGGGCTTTTTTGCCTCCACTGCATAGAGGTCTGATCGCTTCTGGTTAAATATGGGGATTTGCTGGCGTATTTCAGTCACCTTCTTCAAGTCTGCAAAAACAGGAAAGTGCACTATTAATAAGATTAACTCTTCACTAACCAAAGGGATTTTTCCTCCCAAACAGTATAAAAACTACCAGTCTCAGTAAGTAACTCAGTAATACAGGCCTTATCTAGAGGCACAGCTGGCCTGGCACAGCCCCTGGAGTCACTTCAAACCAAACCAAAATAATTCAAAATGAACAAAATGAACTATAGCCCTGAAGACTGAACCAAGAACCAAGGATAAA